GTAAAGGTGTTCGCGGCCAGCGACGAAGAAGATGAAGAAGAGGAGTTCGACATTCACGAACAGAGGAGCAAGCGGATTGCGTCGCAGGCAGCCGAACGAATTGCGACATATTCGGTGAGCAGTGGAAGCTTTGATCGATTGGATTAACACCGCAGGTTTTGCGGTTCGGCGAGGCGAAGGAGGAACTATCCGCGAAGGAGCAGAGGAAGGCGGGTCGTTCGGTCCGCGAAGGGGCAGATCTCGTGAAGGAGGAGGATTTCCGTGAAAGCTAGCACACGTCGCGACAGAAACACACGAAGCACGCCGTGACAGCTCTCGGAATTCAGCATGTGCTCAGCGAAGCGGATTTCAGATGTTAGTGGGGATCAAACCACAATAATGGGTTCCGCCAAACTCGACATTGAGAAATTCAACGGGAAGAACGACTTCGGCCTATGGAGAGTAAAGATGAGAGCTCCATTGGTTCAACAGGGTGTTGCAGAAGCCTTGCAAGGGTGAACAACATTGCCGGCCGACATGACCGAGAAGGAGAAGATCGACATACTGGACAAGACCCACAGTTTGATAATCCTGAGCTTGGGCGACAAAGTTCTGAGGTAGGTGTCGAGGGAGACAACGGCTCAAGCACTTTGGGCCAAACTCGAGGTACTCTACCTGACAAAGTCTCTGGCAAATAGGCTCTTTCTGAAACAGCGCCTATACTCCTTCAAAATGCATGAAGACAAATCCTTCTCAGAGCAGATCGACAAGTTCAACAAGATCATCGACGACTTCGAGAACATCGACGTCAAGATGGACGATGAGGACAAGATACTGCTATTGCTAAACTCTATTCCTAAGAGCTACAAGCATTTCAAGGATGCAATGCTCTATGGAAGGGTGCAGACTATTACTCTGGAGGAGGTTCAATTTCTGATTAGAGCCAAAGAACTTCAGAGGAAGCATGACAGGGACAAGAAAGTCAGCGGAGACAGTCTTATTGTCAGAGGAAGATCAGACAGGAAAGATTCAAGAAATGGTCAGTACAGATCAAGGTCAAGCAAGGATGGCGGGAACCAGTCATCAAGGAGATCTTTCATTGCTATCATTGTCACAAGGAGTCATTTCAAGAGGAACTGCCCAGACAGGAAGAATAAGTACCAAGAAGAGCTAGAAGAATCAGGAGAAGCAAGCGTAGCCTCTGATGACTACGATTCTGCTGAGGCCCTGGTGATCACAAAATCTGAATCCAGTAAGGAGTGAATCCTCGAATCAGGGTGTTCTTTCCATATGTGTCATCACAAATACTGGTTCGAGACACTGCAACAGGAAAATGATGAGTCCGTTCTACTGGGAGACAAAAAGCTCACAGGGTTGTTGGAAGTAAATCAATCAGGATAAAGATGTTTGATGGAGTTGAACGAGTACTGAAAAATGTCAGGTACGTACCAGAGCTCAAAATAAATCTGATTTCTTTAGGTACGCTGGAGTCAAACGGATGTTCGTTCAAGGCAGAGAATGACTGCATCAGAGTAACCAAAGACCCTCGTGTCGTCATACAAGAAGTCAGGAAAAAGGGGCTGTACTCTCTTATCGGAAGAACCGTGATTGCTTAGTCTATGTACTGTTTGGACTTAGCAAACTCAAGCAAGGGCTGAAGGCCCCTCAGGGGCCAGTTGGAGAAAATATTTACTTTAAAGCTTCTCAATTGAGGGTCAAGGTGGTGAATTGTTATTTTGACCCCAATTATTGAACTAAGGTAAAATGACACTTTTGTAATGTGGTACCGCTCACCTACCACATCTCACCTACCGCTCACCTACCTCCCACCTACCACTTTTTTGCTTCTATAAATAGAGAGGGTGTGAGGCTTAGGAGAGCAAGGGAAGAGATCTTAAGCTACCACAAAGGAGGAGAGAATAGCTAGAGAGCTAGAGAGGAAGAGAGCATCTTGAGGCCTTGTATCAAGGTATCGCTTGAGAGGGAGGCCATATAAGGAAGATGAGGGCTCATCTCTATGTATAAGCTATGTATTCTTCATTTCTTTTGCCTTAGTGAACTATTTGATTGATTCCCTCCCGTGGACGTAGATCCAGTTGGATCGAACCACGTAAACGATTTTTGTTTGCTTGTGTTCTTTGCGTTTCATTTCTATGCCAGGAAGTACATATCTCACAACACACCCTCTCATGTTAAGATTTTTTGTCAAGATAAAAATCATTGGGGAACAATCTCATATATTGCTTCAGATCTTTTGAACTCTACCCAATTACCTGCAGAGGATCAAGGATATAGATTTGACCTCGTAATTGTTCCTTGTAGGTTTGAAATTGAGAGTTTATGTTTTCAAAATAAATTTTCTTTATAAAACATTGAAGACTCTACACAAATGTAAAACTAAATCTCGTCATTTTAAGCTCATCTTAGAGAAGCTTCTCAAAACATTCAACTTTTTTTCCAACTCTAACTTTCAAAGTATTGAGGTTGAAAATTTAAATATGAGATTTACTAACTTATTCTGTTGGTAAGGCGGTTTGCTCAAAATATCATGCATCACAATAATGTAATAAGTTAAAATTTATTGGAGATGTTGCACATGTCTTTCTTGAGATAACTATGCCATTTAAGAGTGGCAACACGATTCATAAAGTGGTGTAGTTTACAAGTTTAGTTAATTTTTTCACTTCTCAAAAAGCACTAGTGGATGTTAAATAAATATAATTTAAAAGTAAGTTTGTGAATTTTCTAAAATGATTGCATTTTTTTTGGGATAATATGTTTCGAGTTTAAATCATCTCAAGAAACTCACAATTTTTTAAAGTTTGCTTTCATCTTGATTTGAATAATTGCCTACTTATCAAAATACATATGACAATCTCTTTTTAGAAATTGAAGTACACTTTAGGAAGCTTAACACACGAGGAACTATATTGATCATTTTTGTTTAAATTCATCGTTTAGTTCACAGTTTTAAGAGTTTTAAAAATAAAGTGATGCTCTATTTGTGCTTCACGGCAAGCTACGAAATCCCCTATAAATTTTATTATATATTCAATTCTTGCAACATTTATTGTATATTTTAATATTATTTTTTTCTTTCAAAACTTTTTAGTCATATCAAGAAGTCCAATAGTTTATTTCAATCTAAATTCATATAAGCCCCACAAACTCTTTCATTAAAAATTTCAGTAGTGTTCTAAAATTTTTCCCACATAAGAGCATTTGGACAAGTGCACTATGTCTGCCTATCACACTACAAATTTGAAAGGATTTTAAATTCAAATCACTTCGTGAGCACACTCTACATTGCAACAAGGGAAAAAGGGAATGAAAAAAATGTGAGAAGACTACAGAATCTTCTTTGGCTTTTTGATGATTTCGTGTGCCCTTATCTCCTTCCTCTTTTTTCCTTTGAGTTTTTTCCCATTAGTGAGGCCAAATGACATTACCAAGAGCTCATAATGTCCTTCATTTATTCTGAACGTTGTCTTGTGTACATCAGCTGAATTGATCCCTATCTAGTGGTATCCCAACTTTTGATTGATTTTCGAGAAAATAACTGTCTCATGAAGCTCATCTAACAACTCATCAATCACATGAACATGAAACTTGTTCAATACAATTTCCTTATTCAAAACCCAATAGTTCATGCAAAATTGTCGGCGACCATCTTTTTTCTTCACCAATAGAATTGGATTGAAAAAAAGGCTCACATTGGGTCTGATAATTTCGAGTTCAAGCATCCTTCGGTTTAAGTTTCTATCTCATATTTCTGAATTTGAGGATATCAGTATGGTCTGACATTGATAGGAGAGACACTAATTCTCTCGAAAGCGATAATCCGCTCGATTACTGAAATATGTCAGGAAACTGCTGTAGGACCTGCTGAACAACCTCGCTGCTGAACAACCTCGAGAGACTCTTCTGACTTGGGTTCTTGGATCTCCTTTATGTTCTGCAACTCCACCAAATAGCCTGCTCCCCATATAGTATTGACTATGGTTTTGAGCGAGACCATATTTCTACATAAACTAGCATCTCCTCTCGACGCCACCTTCTTCCCTCCACTTGAAACTCCATCGTCAGGGATTTCATGTCCTCTTTCATCTCTCCAAACATGTGCAACCAATTCATCCCTAGAATCACATAAGTAATGCCCAAGTCCAAGTGAAGGAAGTTTTACACCACCTATAGGGCATGCAGTGTCAGAACTAATCCCTTGCAAATTTCTCACCTTTTCTCAACCTTCCCCATCCCTATTGTGACCCCAAAGCTCCCCGTATCTACCAGCTCCAAGCATAGGTGATCCATAGCTTAATTTGAGATGAATTTACATGTGACCCCACTATCCACCAACGCCACAATCAGTTGTTGTCAGATTTGTCCCCTCACCTTCATAGCGTGATTTGGAGTAAATCCCACTACTGAATTGAGAGACACCTCCACTACATCCAAGTGCAAATGCTCCTCTTCCTCCACCTTGTCTTCCTTCAACTCCTCACTATCTATCACTTCCCCACATGAACTAAAAGGACCCTAAGCATCCGCTCCTTGCAAATGTAGCCTGGAACTTACTTCTTGCCACACCAGACATAATCATTTCACTCTCTTATCCTGCACCTCTGCCTTAGTGAGACGCTTAAAATTTCTCTCAGTACGGGTACCCTTATTCCTCTGCTTTGGCGCCTCTTTCTGAAATGACACCATTTGGGTCTTCGGTATCATGGCCATCAAGGCATCTTGTAAAATCCTCCCGAGGCGTTGCCTTTGCTCATCTTCTTCACCTTTTTATTATCTTCCACCTTATGGGTGAGCTCCACCATCTCCCTCAATCCTCACTGTCTCAATGATCGGAGGGCCACTCGGATGTCAGGCTTTAAGACCTTTAAGAAGTTCCCCTCTAGTCCTTCTGAAGATTACCCTTTAGCCGTCCCGATAATAGCTCAAACCTCTCGCTATATTCTGTGGCTGTCCCTTAGTCAAGGAATATAATTGCCCATGTGACTTTCCTTCCCGAATGACTCAACAACATTCCAACAAGTAATCCGACGAACGGATCATGTATCTCACCTCCATCCACTAAAACTATACTAGGCCCTTTCTCTCCAAACATAAGTCTGCTGCCATGAGCTTCCCTTCCCCATTTAAACCATTTACTGCAAAGTATCGCTCCACCAGGTACACCTACCCTTGTGGATATTCCCCATCAAAGATCAACATGTTCAGTTTCCTCACCCTTGCATCGCCACCCTAGCTTCTTCTTCCTCTGGCATTTCTCCCCATGTTTGTAGGGTGAAACTTCCTCATTCGGTCATAGCCATACCCCAGTCCCGCTTCTCTCCTTTTTTCTTTGTGCTCCTTCGTGTCCCTTGCATGACCCCTCAAATTTTTGGCACACCCTCTTCCATTGGAAGTTTCTACTCCATCCTCTCTCAGAGTCTTAAAGGAAGACTCTTGATGGTAGATGCTTTTCTCATGGTCCTCTCGTTCTATCTACTTCACTTTTGATTTAGCCAAGGATTTTCTGATTATTAGGGTTTGCAATTTGAGCAGTCAGCGGGGTCTTAGATTGCATCTCAATAAGCCTCTTTATCATCTCCTCAAGGCTCTCAAATCCTCATTTGGTTCTCCATGGAAGAAAATCTCTAAAGTTGGCCCTCCATTTGGGTATTGAAAAAACTCTATTCTCCATGGTGGCGAACTTTTGTTTCATCCCTGATCTAATTTACCTTAGTTCTCCTTCCATCGCACCCTCCTTCTTTGCTGCTATTCCTACAACATCTCTCTGATACTATTTGATATGATCCAGAATCAAAAATAGCATGTAAATAGTGAATAAATTGCAATAGAGAGGTGAGAAAACTCAAATGTGGGCCGATTTTACTAATACCACAAATGCACATAATATTCAACATTCATATGCTTTTTGAGAGGTAGATCTTCACTCCACAAACCCTAGATGCTGTTAGGAATACCAAAAGAAAAGAAAAACTACAGCAAATCAAAACTTAAAACAAATATCGACCAATTGACCCTAAGAAATACTCTTAAAAATCGTTCAAACTTCCCCCCAAAAAGCCCCTTTAATTCCGCTCTTCTTGTTCATGATTAGAGGCTGTGTGGACCCCACCTGAATGTTGAATTCGTCCTCAGCACCTCCTAGGATTTCCGCCTCTGTTGGCTAGGCTGGTTGGCTTTGCAAGTACAGACCGGTCCTCCTTGGACCAGTGGCTCGTCTATGGGGATGTTCTCTCGTCTGCTCTCCCGTTTGCAGGAGCTGTCTTATCAGTGTCCTCTATTTTTCTAAGGTAATTTTGATGCTTTTAAACATGGTATGTTTGAAAAAGCATGAGATGATTGAATAACTTGTGATCGAGATGCCTTGCATTTGTTTCATGCGATGCCACTTCTGTAGTTTATTTTGTATTTCATCGAATGGCATAGTAGAATATGTATGGAGGTCAACATTAATTAATTAACCATCTTTGCTCTTTTGAAATGATTGGTACCCTTGATTGTACTTCAACCCTTTTCTCATTTTGAAATTCTTGTAATCGTATTTCAACTAATTATCTTTAATTTTAAATTTGCAATGATGGCCTGAGATGAAGTACCCTCCTTTAAGAGTTGGGCTGTGTTTATAACCATGCTCATTGTCTAGGGTCTTTGGCTTCTGTTTCAATTACCTTGTTCTATGTAGTTTAGAATCAGATTTTAATACCCACTGCATTATTAGTGAGTAGTTTGGAAGGGCTATGTAGTGGCTGGTTAAATAATCTACTTTGAACTTCTAACTATTTTTGCAACATCCTGCCTACAGTCATGGTCTATGAGTGGTCAGACTATTATTAAGACCTAATGTTTAGAGGGAACAAACCTCGTGCAATCTTTAGATTCCTCTAATGTTGGGGACTTATGCTGAGGACCAGGGGTATGTTGCATATATCCATATCTGATAGTTTTGGCGGGAGCCTCGTGCATCCAGTATTCCCTTTTAGATTCTATTTAATCTTTTGCCGGTTAAATTTTATGAGTTTTCACTCGTATCAGGCAAGGGGCAATTTTGAAAAACTTCGAAAATGAAAATTTTTTTCGTTTGCTGCTTGAATGCGCATTTGTATACATTTCCTTAGTCTGTTGTTCAATTTTTCCTGTAGGAGCTGCTGTGGAAGAACGAATGCGAAAGCTTTGTCCCGATTGTTTTGAAAGTGAAGGTCCGACTGACATTTTGTCTTTTGCTACTTATATGCGCTTTTGTATAAATTACTTCAGACTGTTAAACTTTTCATGCAGGAGGTTCTGTACAAGGACCAGTACAAATAGTTTGTCCGGATTGCTGTGAACTGGCTCCGAGTAATGACGGTGTTCCCACGGTATGGTGTCATTTGTGTATTTCTTACATTTTTTTGTCTTATATGATTACAGACTCTGTAATGCTGATATTTATTATGCTTGCTTGTGAAGTTTGCTTTGCTCTTATTTATTGTTTTTTGTAGCTCATATAGCAGCTTTTCTTTTCTAATAAATGTGATATGGAAGCCTTCACAGCTTTGGAAAACATAGCGATATTAATATTTTGTTGATATATTTCGCTTGCTACTGATGTTAGCATTTACATACCATTTAGGCTTTAAAAGTCTCCTTAAATCTACATTTTCTTTAATTACATTCCCAAGGAATCATTTCCTTGATTTGTTTTAGTAATAGCTCGATACCTCTTAAGTGTGCTAAGTCATATTGGTGATTGATCAAAACTTGTGGAGCTGTCTTCTATAGGTTGCCTTTATGCCTTTCGTTGTAAATACTTGTTAAGCTTAACATAAAATTGACTTCGGTTTGTTTTCTTTAGATAATAAAATTAGGTGTTTCCTTCAACCTAGTGGGAGGAACTTTGGTGTGAACTATGCCAATTCCATTTGCTTGTGACTCCTATCCCCTGAGATATTGCCTTTTTATCATGTCCTAATTTTAAAAATTCATTGACTATTGAACTTCTGGTGATATGTTATGCCCAGGGATGAGCTGGTCCCTCATGGACCGGCCGAAAGCAGCTCAACCCCCCCCCCCCCCGCCACAACGGCAGGCGGCCCGGTCTTTAACGTGGGAAGAGGCGAGGCGGTCAAGAGTTGCGGCAGTAGATGGGGTCCACTAGGGCCATAATCACATCTTCAAGGAGATATTAACGAAGTTTTGAGGGAAAGTTTGGAAGGAAAGTTTGAAATATTATGGGAGGATTATATTAAGGGGAATAACCTAGGGTTTGTATTCTTTATGCATATTTTGTTTGCTGATGTGTTTTCTTTCTTCTTGTGTGTTCCTAACGACGTCTAGGGTTGTGGGAGAGCCGATCTACCTTGTATCTTCCTGTTTTCATCTGTGTTTCTTAAGAGCAACCCTTATTTGAATTGTTTTCTTCTATCTATTACGGTTTCATCGTTGTTGATTGTTGATTTTGGTTCTAAAGTGTATCAAATTGGTGTCAGAGTCTAGATCTTGGTGTCAATTAGGAAGAACATAAATCAGACAACTAAATTAGGAGTTTTCTATAATTAGGAGCTTCCTTATTTTTAATATTTTTATTTTTATTTATTTCCCTTTTAGGTGAATATTTAGATTAATAATATGTATCATTAAGTTACTTAAAATAGATTATGCACTTTATTCTATACCTAAAATAGATTGTGAAGTTATTATTTAATGGACTGAAAGCAAAGGGAAAAGGCATCGAGCCTATTCAAGATCAACTAATTTTTCTCAAAACTTTGACATGATAACAGAGCCAAAATTTTACCCTAACCACCGGTAGTTATTGGAGAACCGTCAAAGCTCTCTTCCAAGCGGTCTTCTTGCGGGAAGGGAGTAACTATTTCTTTGCCTTCATCTTCGTTCGTCTGCTTCTGCCCTAACTGCACCACTTCGCCGCCTCGACCCTCACGGGGAATCGATCGCAGGGTCTCGTTCGACTCTCACAACACGGAGATCGTGTGATACTATGGATGAGAGCTTCCAAATTTGAGCCAAATGAGGAAAGCAACGAGAGAATCATAGCATGAAGAGATCCGAAACTCCTGTTACTTTGTCGGTTCGCACGACTCTAGCGCATCCTCTTTCCTCCAAACCATCTTCTGTGGAGCGATATAGTGGTGATTAGAGCATATAAGAAGGCAACGACGGGATCGTCGGCTTACAGAGATCTGCCTTCTCCTTCTCTATTCCGCCCTAGCCCTCGCGAGTACGACACCCTCATCTCTCTCCATAAATCAACGACGGGAACACAGTGTGCACTGAATCCCTCTTTCATCCCTGCTTTGCCTGTGTGCGAGGCCCGCCTGACACCCTTATCTCTCTCAGGAAACCAATGACGGCATTGTGACGTACATAGATTTTCAAGGAACTCCCATGTTTCTCTCTCGGCATCTTTGGCTGCTTCTTCGCCCACTTTGTTGACTGTGTTCTGCGGGATTTTAGACTGCTTCTTCCGCCTTCAACTGCTTCACTCAAGTCTTTCTCTGACTACTTTTTGCGAGTCTTTAACTCCTTCCTAGATCTTCGTCTTCGACTTCGACTTCGGCAAACCCTAGCTCTACGACTTCGACATCTCGGTTTCGACACTTTTGACGTGAAGATCAGGGAACAAATTGTCTTGGTCGTCGCAGGAAGAATCCCTAGCATTTGGATCAGGACGCGGATCCTACTTGTAGGCATTGATCGATAGCATTTGGATCGTGTAACTGAAAGCGGATACTTCTTGTGGCTATGATTCAAATTTCTTGATGATAATGATAAAGGATTTCTTGTTTTTCTTTGCTCAAATCATGTTATGGTTCAGGAGTTGTCTCCGAGGCTTCCGCATTCTCAGCTTCGGCACTTTCTGCTTCGACACTTTCGGCTTTGACACTCTCAGACTTCGACACTCTCAGACTTCGACACTCTTAGGTTTCGACATTCTCAGCTTCGGCACTTTCGTCTTCGACACTTTCGGCTTCGATACTCTCAGGCTTCAACACTCTTAAGCTTCAACACTCAGACTTTGACACTCTTAGGCTTCGACATTCTCAGTTTCGACACTCACAGTTTGAGGATTTTTGGTCCCGACAATGTTATTAGTTTCTTGTTAGTAAATTGATGTTTCTTGATCAGTCAACATTAATTTGAGGGGGCATGTCAATCAGGAATGAAGGAAATCAAATAGCTAAATTAGGAGTTTTCTATAATTAGGAGCTTCCTTTTTTCTAATATATCTATTCTGATTTACTTCCCTTTTAGCTGAATATTTAGATTAAAATTACCTAAAATAGATTATGCACTTTATTTTCTACCTAAAATATATTGTAAAATTATTATTTAATGAAATGAAACAAAGGGAAAATACATCGAGCCTATTCAACATTCAACCTATTTTTCTCAAAACTTTGACAATTAGTGGGATGACAACAAAAAAAGTTTATGTGCTAGAAGGGAAGGTAGGGCAAATTAGATCTGGAATGCAAGAGAGATTCGCCACCATGCAGGACAGTTTTTCTTCCATTGAAAGTCGAATGGAAGATGGATTTGAGAGCATAGGAGAAATGTGGTAGTTGATGAAAAAGTTCATGGCGATGCAATCCAAGGTCGTGCTGATTGCTTCAGTTGCAAACCTTACCCAAGAGTTAATCGGGGAATCCTTGACCAGGTTAAAAGGGAAGGAGATCGAGCAAGAAGACAATAAGGAAGACATCATATACCAACAAGAGCGTCCCCCTAGGACCCCGAGAGGAGGGGGAGTGGAGACTTCCGGGGAAGGGGGATGAGCCGAAAATTGGAGGAGGGATGGGGTAAGGAGCACGAAAGAGCACAATGGAGGAAGGAGGGAATCGGGATTTGGGTATGCCTATGACCGAAGGAGAGAGTTCCACCCTCGATACATGGGGTGAAATTCCAAATGAAGAGGAGGTTGGGGTTGTGATGCAAGGATCTGAAAACTAAAGATGCCAATCTTCGAAGGGGATGATGCACATGGGTGCGTGAATGGGGTGGAGCGATACTTTGCAATCAATGGGTTAATAAAGAAATAGAACCTCATGGCAGTGGGATTATGCTTGGAGGGAAAGACTTTAACTTGGTTTCAAGTATCTGATGCACTAATGAGAGAAGTTTAAGGATTGCTTGTTGAAACGTTTCTGGGTCGTTCGGGAATGAGGCCTATACGAGCAATTTTATGCTCTGAATCAGGAGGGGACGATTACAGAGATACATGGGATTCCACCCTAGATACATGGGGTGAAATTCCAAACGAAGAGGAGGTTGGGGTGGAGATGCAAGGATCTGAAAATCGAAGATGCCAATCTTTGAAGGGTAGGATGCACATGGGTGGGCGTATGGGGTAAACTACTTGGTCGAGTTGTAGAGCACTGAGGTGATTCGAGATTCAGAGTTGGCAGAGTTTTCTGTAGGGATCAAACAACTCGAACAACACTTTATAGGTGTCATCTAACAGTTAAGCGGGTTACCTCCCCCGAAGGAGCACGAGCATACTATTACATTAAAAGAGGGTGTTTCCCCCATTAGCGTCATGCCATACTTGTACCTCCAAATATTGAAGGATGGGATAAAGAAGCTGATTTGAGAGATGCTCGAGGTCAGGATTATCAGGTCTAGTGTGAGACTTTTTTCCAGTCTCGTTTTGTTGGTGAAGAAAAAAGATGGTAGTTAGAGATTCTGCGAGGACAATCAAGCCTAGTGTGAGGCCATGTAGTTTTGTCGACAGTTCAACCGGACGATCCACCTGATGCTTCGGTGGTGACCTAACAGGAGATCCATTCGAGTCAACGGGAATGGAACGACTGTTCTCGTCCATCACATACAATGCTAGGAATACTGGAGTGGTCGGTCGAAGACCGGCAGGCTCTGTTGCTTGTCCTCCCATCGAGGTCTCCTCTCGGCCGAGGACTGGTGGGCTCGACACATTCACCTTTGGAGAGGCGTCCCGGATGGGATTGTTCAAATGAGTCACCGACATTGGAAAGAAGCCAAGCAGAATTGTTGCTTCTAATCGAAGAAAAATGGATTGATCTGTCTAGTCCAACGTGGAACGAAAACAAATAATTAAACATGTCAATAGACCACAAAATTTGTCGATCGTCGACGCCGACATAACAACACGAAGGTCATGACGAGCACAATAGAGTTGGGCTTTACTTGCGTTGGAATGAGCCCGTAATTGGCAATGACAAAGCATAGCTTGGTATAGAGTGACAAGAGAAGGTTGAACTCGAGCTAGTCCCTACAGAACAAAAGGATTGTGATGTACAATGAAATCACCCAATCCCCTCGCCAACGATGTGATGCTTGATAGAAGGATTAAAAACATGACTCTCCTGTAGTGAGTTGACGAGTTGAACTTCGCTTGGGTCTCTCATGATTGATCCTCTGAAGCTATCGAATCAAATTCTTTTGGCGAGTACTGAGGTGCCATTAGTCTATCGCTGGAAGTGAAACCCGGAAGGTCAAGAAAGCGAGGGATAGGAAAAGACAGAAGGTGTGCCTCATAACTCAACCCTCTTTTATATGTAGATGAAGTCCAACCGTCTCATAAAGAAAAAAAAAAAAAAAAAAAAAAACAATCAGTCATTTCCATAATAATTTATTAGCAGAATCAAAACAATACAAGAAACAAGACAAATAAAATATTTTTTATTCTAGAAATGACATTCAAATTATATCAAGACACTCGGCTCGAGGAAGCAAAGTATCTCATAAGGAGATCCGAAACCACTTAAATCAAGATATGCCCCAACCGAAGCAACCTCTTATACAAAAATTATTCTCCAGACTTAAATTGATTCAATCGATTTGACTCGACTTGTGCTTGAAAATTAGAGATTTCCCTCGAATATTTGACAAGTCCTGATGAAGGGTTGTCTCTATATCCTCTACCTTCTCCATTTGAGTCAACAACTCGCATTTCCTCGTCTTGTTGGATCTCTGTCGACTAGGCGAAAGAACTTATAATCTCGTTCAGACAACGAGCCAATGATGCATGGAGCATCTGGTCCCCTTCTACAGCTTTTCGGTCGCCTCCAGGGAAAGTGCAGGATTGTCAGGGCAATCAACTCCACCACCATCGCTTGAGAGTCGACCACCCTCACCAAACGCCTAGTCTATGATCACTGGCGGCTCGATCGGACCCTCATCTGGGTTTAATGGAGCGGAATCATTTGTGCCAAAAATCATCGTAAAAAAAAAGAAACTTTAAATCAGATTAAAAAAGATCAAACCCCACAAACATAAGAGAAAAGTCCCTCATACCCAACAATCGAATCAACTCAGACATTGTATGCAACACGCTCTAGTGAAGGTGACAAGAGTTTACTTAAAGCCACTTGAGTAGCCTCATCGGTCGGAGGGCCTTGAACCGCAGCAGGAGGTTGTGTTGTCGGATCAAGGGTCAAGCCGGTCAGTTGAAAATTCCTCCGCTCTATGCCAAAGATCGAATCTGACGACCCTACCTAATCTGACAACGGGAGCATAATCTTCTTCCTCTTCACGACAATTTTCTTCCTCTTTTCACCCTCGAGACAGTTCCATCCTTTCAATTTTTTGAAAAATGATGCGAATCAGATTTTTAATAATAAATTCAGTCAATTGAATTGTAAGCGGCATCTATTTTGCCTTTTTGACCAATAGGGGGTTATGACAATGATATTGATACTTTATGCTTGGTCAATTATGTTGGTTAATATTATACAAGGCTATGATGATAGTGATTGGTGCTTATGGCATTGGATTTAGGATTTAGGATTTAGGATTTAAGATTTAGGACTTAGGAGGGCTTTATATAGTGCCTAGGGTTAACGTGTGTACTTAGGTGGCTTTTTGTTGATCATTGTAAAAAATTAGATGATCAAATTTATGTGGAAAAAAAAAAATCAAATATTGTAGTTATAAATTTTGATGATGAAGAAGTAGGTAAATATGAGGGGCTACAAATTCGTATATATAGAAGTGGGCATGAATGATTCAACGACTATAAAAAAAGAAGGATTGTGGTCGGGATTGGATTGTGTCTAGGCTATATACTTACAAACTTAAATGGTTGAAGCACACTTGTTTAAATGTACTTTAATGACTCTTGAAATTTTATTGAAGTAGTACTTACATGAATCTTGAAAGTTTATTATGTTGCATACATAATTTGATGTGATGAATATCTTTTGTACTTGTGCATAATGTTTCTCATAATTAAAATAAAATTATAAGTGATTTATTTTTCTTGAGTGCACTACTTTACTGAGAGAACATCGAGCATTTATATCATGTTGATTATGCTTAACACCTTAAAAATATTAATAATTATTTTTGTTATATTCACAGGATTTGTATGTTTTTTATGTAGACTTTATTATATTAAACTTAAATTCCTTTTTCTAATTCCTTTTACTTTAGAATAGGCTGTACTCATTAGAGTTGTATCTGCCGGTAGCTTCGAAGTAGACTACCTTTAAATAATTTTCTGTAAGCTCTTTAATAGTTGATATAATACTAAGCGTTGATTCATTATGTAACCTCAACTTTATTGTATGATTTTTGGTTACTCCATGATACTTCATGTCAAATCACGCCTCTATCATACATAACTTTCCTTAACTATTTCTCAGCAATCCAATCAATATATACTAATTTTTCTTCCATAACACTTGTAACCAAATATTTCTTATCACATAAAAGATATACCCATTTTAACTTTTAGAAGTGAAACGCACCTTTTCATGCATAGGCAAAGTGGTATGCATGTAAAAATTAAAGTTTAGGAGTTAGATATGTAAATACATAAGAAATGGGTGGTTTGTATGTAAATCTTCCATTAATTTTTTTGTGCTTTGCAAATGCAAACCGAGCCTAAGAAGGCTATGCCTGTGTTTTTGCAACTGCAATGTTAACGCAGAGTTATAATGGAAGCTGACATTAGATTTTAGAAAGTAGTTGCATGTTCCTATATGTAGCTGACTCCAAATTTCATTTTTATTAAAACACTTATGTGAAGGATTTGATAATTTAAATTTGGATTGGTATAAGATCTGCCAGATCAGGCATAAAAAGTGTAATTGCTCTTTGCCAATCAAACTTAACCATGTGGAGAATATATATTTATAGCTTTTGTGGAATTTAATATGATTTTAACGTTTAAAATATTCAACCCACAAATTGCATGTTTGCTGTCTTGAAACTCTCCAATTACTCTTTATCTGAAGATTCAACTGAGTTCTCTTCTGATTTGCTCTATTTCCTAACCGTCCGGTTGCCGACGATGATCGTAGGTGAGGAAAACAATCCAGTTTCTTCCAGAGAAAGAAATAGAGTCTTCCTCGTCGTGTTCGCCAGAGCCTGATGAGAATGCTTTAATCTGTGCTGTCTGCATGCGCAAAGTGAATGATCCTTCTTCAACGACTTGCGGTCATGTGTTTTGCACCAAGTGCATCGAGGACACCGTTGCCAGGCTGAAGAAATGTCCCACCTGCAGGAAGAGGCTCACAAAGAGCAGTTTCCACAAAATTTTCCTCCAAAATGGCTGATTTTTTTTCTCTATTTTACTTCTACTTTTCAGTTTTTTTAAAAATAATACCTGGTCCATATCCATCCTTCATTGTCTCTCAATAAAATCTTTGAGGCTGCATTTGGGATGTTTTTTTCATAGTTTTATAGGGCAATATCATTTTTCTTTTCGAATACATTTTTTTCCTTAAACATTTTTTCAGAATTTTTTTTTTTTTAAAAATTTGAATGTGTTTTTTCAACCTACTTGATCATTGCAATCTTTGTGGAGTAGTTAATTAATATCAAGCTCCATCTTTGATGGTATCTAAAATATATGCATAATTTTAGATTAAAGTGCCAAAAGAGTCCCCGACTATTTACATGGAGTTGTTTTAGTCGTAGAGTTTATAAAAGTGTCGAAATGATTCACAGGCTCTTTAAATTGCAGTTGAAGTAGTCCTTATGGATGACTATTGGAGCTCAAATTTAAAATAGTTGGAGATTATTTTGGCACATATATACTAGTAGACTAAGAGTGCATTTATTTCAGTTGCGGCTGTATAAAATCTCACTTCAAAGATTATTGTGAAAAAATTGTTAATTAAAAGCTGGTGTTTCAGAAGCAATCTGGCTGCCCAAAAAATTCGGTTTCGAAAGTATTGTCTGTGAATAAAGTGTCTAAACTAACATTCATCTCAGGCGCACCTATTAGTCTCTCAACCGTGAGGGATAAGCAAATTATTTCAAAATAAATATAATGAGCATAAAATTATCTTTTAACCATGAATTGTAACGACTTGAATTTTTCTTACTTTCTAAATCAATTTAACCATATCATTGGTCAATTATCCCAGCTTATTATTTAACTAAAGAGAGTGAGGTGGCACATGCCAGCACCAAATCAATTTAACTTCATATGCCTCATGAAGCCCAGCCTTCTGCCTTTTCCTGTTGGGTTGGCTCCATTGTGGGGATGCCTTGGATTCCCCTATACTTGACTGTCGGCTGAATTGCTCCGGTTCAGGCTATTTAGCTGCATTGGTTAAACTTAATCTTCACGCTTTTGATCGGGCGCATGAACCCTCAAGTCCCCTATCAATCTGCCCTCCTATGACATGTTTTGTTCCATCCGTGCCCTTAGATGTCCTAGAGAGTCATGCAAGTATGTTTTCTTTATACAATATATATATATATATAT